CGCCAGCTCCCGCCAGCTGCAGCCGTGGCTGCACTCAGACCCACCCAGGCTGTCCTGGATCACCTGCAGACCTTCCCCTTGGGGTGCTGGGGTGACGGGCGTGGGGCAGCCCGGGCACTGTGCCCACTGCTCACGTCTGGGCGGGTTGGGCTCCAACGTCAGCCACGCACACACTGATGCCTTTGCCCCATCCTGCGGCCTCACTGGAGGGAGAGGTACCTGGTGCACAGCAGACACCCAGGGTCCACGGACCTCCGGCCAGAGGTAGCCTCACTCTCCTGGGCCCCCATGCGTGGGCTTAGTGGGTAGCAGACACCCTCCTCCATCTCCCGAAGGCCCCTGCCAGCCGCCCTTGGCTGTCACTTCTCTCGGACACAGTTCACTTGTGCAGGACAGTTTCCTGGTGTCTCTGGGCCCCATGCATGTCCTGGGCTCACCGTCTAGGTGGCCAGCAGGCTTGTGGGAGCAGGACCCCCCTCCTGGGAGGCTTCAGGGGTAGTATGAGTGGTCTTGTCTGAGTTACCCTAGTAGATGGAGTCATGAGGGCTTGAGGTCCAGGGGGATGTGCTGGGAAGCAGATGGTGGCAGGCACCAGGAGTTAGCAAATTGCCTCAGTTCACTTGTTACTGTATCAGTGACGCGTTTTATCGGGGTGTAACGTAACCTACCGCCAGATCCTCCGCTCTTAAGCGTGTGGCTTAGTGGTTTTAGTCCACGTGTGCAGTTGTGCAGCCATCAGCACAGTCCAGTTTCACAGCATCTCTGAGACCCCATCTCCTGCCCATTTGCAGTCACCTCCCACCCCCTGGAAATCACTCATCCACTTTTGGTCTTTGTGGATTTGCCACAGAGACCAAAAGTGGACATTTTACGTTTTACGTCAAGGGAATCACACCTTTGTGTTTGCTTCTCTCACCGAGCATTGTATTCTCTGGGCTCATCCACGGTGTAGTATCAGTGCTTCACTCCTTTTGTGGCTGAATGATGCTCCACTGTGTGGAGTTTATCTGCTTATTAGTTGATGGACATTTGGGTTCTTTGCCCATGGATTTTATGAATCTGCTGCCGTGAACATTTGTGTATACACCGGTTTTTGCATGGACGTGTGTTTTCACTTCTCTTGGGTAGATACATAGAAGTGAGTTGCTCGTGTTTATTCTAAGTTTATGTTTAACTTTCTGAGAAAATGCCAGGCTGTTTTCCACAGTGGCTGCAGTGTTTCCCATCCCCGCCAGCTGGGCAGGGCGGGTTCTGGTTTCTCCTGACCCTCCCAATGCTGTAACCGCCCGCGGTTCTGATCCTGGCCTCCTGGTGGTTTGAGGTGGTCACTCATGCTGGTTTGATCAGCTTATCCCCAGTGGCTGGTGCACCTCTTCGTGCCTTTCTGCATGCACACGTGTCATTTTATTTCTGCGTATTTATGTCCTCAGGATAAATCGCCAGGGGTAGAATTACTGGGGCGGGGGGGCTGTGGTGAGCAGCAGAGGTGGCAACCCTGTGCCCCAGCCCGTGTGTGCCTGTTGGATCTTGGCTCACGCTGACCAGCCAGCGGCCTGGGCGGGCAGCGCCCTCTGTCACTCTCTGGCCTCCCGCCAGGCCTCTCCGCAGGCTGGCGCATCCGGCCTGGCACTCCAGGCAGGTACTGTCTGCCCCTGGGAGCAAGTTGTGGGAAGAGCTGCCAGTGACCTTGAGGAATCCAGACACCCAGCATGGACACTAGAAGGAGCGGCGTGGGGGGCTGGGCGCCACAGATGCAGGAAGAGGGGCAGAAAGGTCGGCTGCCAGGACCCCTCCCCACACCCATACCTGGACACGTGGACATGCACGTGCGGACGGTCTGGCTGACTCTTCCCCTGCTCTCATGGGCCCCGGGCATCGTGCGGACACCCGCCGCACGCAGCCCACCCTTCACTGAAGAGCCTCCAGGTCTGGGCATGACACCCACCACCAAGCCAGGCCAGGAGCTGCGAGGCCTTGAGGAGTAACGGGCATCCACCACCTACGAGCTCGGGCCTCCCCTGGGTACACAGAGGCGGAGAGCACAGCCCAAGGCTGGCTGAGGATGACCTTAGAGGGAGGGGCCCACGAGCACCTCAGAACCAGCAGGGGGTCAGGTAGCGACATCCTGCCTGGGAGCCTGGGCTTGGGTCTGCTGGCCTGACTGAGCAAGGTCCTTGAGTGTGGACAACACTTAGTCCTCTCAGCTTTTTTGCGGAGGAAAAGGCCATCCCCAGGCTCCTGCAGACCCTGCGTGTCCCATCACCTCCCTTTGAATTGGAGCTGAGTGTTGCAGCCCCAGAGAATTGAGGGCAAAGCAGGTATTTGGTGTCCGTTTCCCACTTGGCTGACCTTCCTGTCATGCGGAGTAACGCCCGTGTCCTGGAGTTTGGTATGCTGGTCTCTGACTTCCAGGCTTTGTCTGGTGCTCTGGCCTCACCTCGGACACTCTAGGGATCCAGGTCCTGGGCCCCCAGACCAGAGCAGGGTAGTTGAGGGGGTGGGGGCAAAGGCCCAGGGCTCCTCTGGACACCTGGTCACTGACCCCAGAGCCACTTCATCTCCGCCCACCTGGTGACGCTGAGGTGCGGACTGAGGTGTGGGCCACAGGGGTCCCTGAGGGAGCATAGCTCCCACCGCCTCCAGGTGTCACCTGCTGTGTGTCCTGGGTGTGGCCTCATGTTCATCTGGCCAAGGGACTGGCCAGCTGTTGGGTCATGAGAGTGGGTGGGACTTGGGCTCTCTCCCCCTCCTGTGTCTTCTCAGCATGTCTGGGACCACCAGGGGCCTGTCCTGTGCTGGGGGCGGGAGCCCGAGTCTTCTCCCTGGACACCCCTGCCAGGAGCAGGTGGTCCACAAAGGGTCAGACCAGCTCTGCAGGCCAGGTGGGGCACCCAGGGCAAAAGACCATCCTCTGAGCCTGGGTCCCACGTGGAGGCTGCCCGGGACCCAGCGTGTGTGTGCACGTGTGTGTCTGTGTCGGCACACATGTGCCCACGCCTTGACCGTGGGCCCTTCTGTCAGTGGGGAGCAGCAGGGGAGGCTCCAGTCATCTCCAGGCAGATTTCTTAGGCTTTTGGTAGTGCAGAAGCCAAGGCCAAAGCTGACCTGGCCAGGCCCCACCCCCGTGCTGGTCGCCCCAGGGCCCATCCACCCACTTGGGTGCTGTGGGCAGCCTGTGAGTCTCAGCCACACGCCCGAGAAGGCGGCTTCACAGTTTGCTCTGGGCTAAGGAACAGTCGCGCTGCTCGGGGGACATTTTTTGTTTGTTTGTTTTAATATTTATTTATTTGGCTGAGCTGGGTCTTAGTTATGGCATGTGGGATCTTTTAGTTGCGGCATGCAGGATCTTTAATTGAGGCATGCGGATCTTTAGTTGCGGCATATGGGATCTAGTTCCCTCACCAGGGATCGAACCCAGGCCCCCTGTATTGGAAGTGTGGAGTCTTAACCACTGCACCACCAGGGAAGTCCCTTGTTTGTTTTTTTTGAAGAGGGAAGTTTTCTTTCTTCCTGAAGGATTTGGCACAAACATACCATAAGAAGGGCAAGCTTCATGACTTGTTATAAAGAACAGTTGAATTTTCTGCCAAGCAGAGCAGCTACAGTCAGGGTAGGAGACTGTGTGTGTGGAGTGTGGACGCCCCTCACACCCGGGTTAGTCCTCAAGAGGCGGGTTGCGGGGCCAGCTCTGCCCACCCCAGAGGCTCCCAGAGCCCTGCTCCCACCCCCCTCCTCAGCCCCCAGGAACCATCAGGCTCTTCTCTGCCTTTGGGTTTGCCCGTCCTGAACATTTCCTGTGGATGGAATCACACCACGTGTGGCCTCTGTGTCTTTCGGGGCTTGTTGGTGTTGTGTGTTGGTGCTTCGTTCTTTTTGATTGCTGAATGATATTCTGTGTTTCGTTTATCCATTTATTCATTGATGGATACTTGGGTTGTTTACACCTTTTGACTGTTGTAAGCAGGTCTGCCATGAACATGTGTGGATGTGTGTTTGTGAAGAGCACCAGTTTTCAATTTGAGCATATACCTAGGGGTGGAATAGCGGGATCACAATTGTGGTAAGTCTGTTTAACTTTTTGAGGAACCGTCAAACTTTTCCAAAGCAGCTGTAATATTTTACATTCCCACCAGCAACGTAGGGAAGGCCTGTGGTTTCTCCAGATCCTCACCAGTGCTGTTACCGTCTGCCCTGTTGGGTGTGAGGTGGTACCTTGTAGTAGTTTGATTTGCATTTTCCTGATGGCTGCTGGTGCTGAGCATCTTTTCATGGGCTTTTTGTGTATCTCTGGGGGAGTCTCCTCAAGTCCTCTGCCCATTTTTTTAATAATACTTATTTGTCTGTGCTGGGTCTTAGTTGCAGCATGTGGGATCTTTTAGTTGTGGCGTGTGGGATCTAGTTCCCCAACCAGGGATCAAACTCCAGGGATCAAACTCCAGTTCCCTGCATTGGGAGCACGGAGTCTTAACCACTGGACCACCAGGGAAGTCCCCATCTCTGCCCATTTTTAAAAACAGGTTGTTTGTTGTGTAGTTATGAGAACTTTTTATGTATTCTGGATACTAGACCCTGATCAGAAATAGATGATGGGCATATATTTTCTCCTGTAGGTTATCTTTTCACTTTCTTCATAGTGTCCTTTGAAGCATGGAAGTTGTTAATTTTGATGAAGTTCTTTTTTTTCCCCTTTGTTTGCCTGTACTTTTGGTGTCACGTTTAAGAATACATTTTGCCAAATCCAAGTTCATGAAGATGTACTCACATTTTCTTCTTCGAAGAGTTTTATAGTTTTTGTTCTTACATTTAGGTCATTGATCCATTTTGAGTTAATTGTTGAATATGGCATGAGGTAAGGCTCTGGCTCATTCTTTAGCATTTAAACCCAGCTTTCCCAGCACCATTGATTGAAAAGACTGTTCCCCATTGAATAATCTTGACACCCTTGTCAAAAATCACTGACCGCGGCCTTCCCTTGCAGCCACACGCACTCTCCCGGGCCCATGGCTGCAGTCGGGGAGTGGTCCTGCACACGCTGCACCTTCCTGAACCCGGCCGGCCAGCGCCAGTGCTCCATCTGCGAGGCCCCACGGCACAAGCCTGACCTCGACCAGATCCTGCGGCTCAGCGTGGAGGAACAGAAGTGGCCCTGCACCCGTTGCACATTCCGCAACCTCCTGGGCAGGGGGGCCTGCGAAGTGTGCGGCTTTGCCCCCGAGCCCGTCCCCGGGGCCTCCCTGCTACCCGTCATCAACGGGGTCCTGCCAGAGCCCAAGGGCAGCTGCGGGGAGGAGGCAGGGCCTGCACAGATGGCAGGGCTGGTGGCCATGGAGCCAGCTGGGGGGCGGCCGGAGGAGGTGGAGGGGGAAGAGGGGGGCGCGGCCGCAACTGGGAATGGCTGGGCCTGCCAGCGCTGCACACTGCACAACACGCCAGTGGCCAGCTCCTGCTCGGCCTGTGGGGGGCCGCGGAAACTCTCGCTGCCCAGGATTCCTCCTGAGGCCCTGGTGGTCCCAGAAGTCGTGGCTCCCGCAGGCTTCCCCGTCATGCCTGCCCCGCCCCAGCCCGGGGAAGGCGCCGATGCCAACCCTCCCTCTGCTGCGGACCAGGAACCCCCCCGGGGGCCACCCTTCAGCCCCTTCTCGCCTACCCTCCAGAACAACCCTGTGCCTCGCAGCCGCCGCGAGGTGCCCCCCCAGCTGCAGCCACCGGTGCCTGAGGCCACCCAGCCCTCGCCCTCTGCCAGCTCCAAGGGGCCCCCCCAGGGCCTGGGGCGGACCGCGGCTGGGGCCTCCCGCCTGGCGGAGCTACTGTCGGGCAAGCGGCTGAGCTTCCTGGAGGAAGAGGCAGCTGAGGGTGGCACCACGCTGCGCCCACCTGGTCCCGCCAGCCCTGCCCACTGTGAGGCTGGCACCATACCGGGCAGCGACGTCATTGACCTGGCCGGCGACACCGTGCGCTACACGCCCGCTAGCCCCTCCAGCCCTGACTTCACTACCTGGTCGTGTGCCAAGTGCACGCTCAGGAACCCCACAGCTGCCTCCCGCTGCACGGCGTGCGGCTGCTCCAAGCTGCATGGCTTCCAGGAGCACGGCGAGCCTCCCACCCAATGCCCCGACTGCAGCGCGGACAAGCCCGGGCCCTGCTTGGCCCACAAGGCTGGCCACCTCTTTCCCACAGCACTGTCTGAGCGCCTGGGCCAGTGGGCTTGCCCTGCCTGCACCCTACTCAACACGCCCCGAGCCAAGCACTGTGCCGCCTGCCACACCCCCCAGCTCCTAGTGACCCAGCGCCGGGGCACAGCGCCCCTGAGACGCAGGGAGAGCATGCACGTGGAGAAGCGGCGGCAGACGGACGAGGGCGAGGCCAAGGCCCTATGGGAGAACATTGTGGCCTTCTGCCGGGAGGTGAGGCCCCTCTGCATCGTCTGTCCTTCCCTGCTGTCTCTTCTCCACCTTGGGGGAGGGTGGGACCCTCTTCCCAAAGCTCAGAGCACCAGCCTGCCCTGAACTTGGGTGGGGCCACCAGGTCACTGCTCGCCTGAGTGTGCTGGGCCCTTCTCCCTGTGTCCACAAGGGTCCATGACCCCACATTCCATGGTCCTGACCCCTTGGCCCCGCTGTGAGTTCCTGCAGATGGTGGCCCCACAGGGAGGTGGGGACAGGTAGCGGCTTCACGCCAACAGGCAGGCCTGGTGCTTCCCGCAGCTGCAGAAGCCCTGCTGAAACTCAGAGTTGGGGTGCCCCTTCATGCCTTCTTCCCTTGGAGCTGCAGGAGGGCTGAGCCCAGGGCATCACCCACCCCCAGGGGCACCTGGAGAGGGTGTCCATCCCCCCTCATGCTGCTACCCTCTGTCACTGCTGGCAGCCCATCCAGGAGTTTGTGTTCTGGCTGCCCTGCCCCTGTCAGGTCCCCCCACTTTTCTTCCCGGGGCCTTCGGTGCAGTGGGCTGTGCAGGGAGGCCACCCAGGCTCCCTGTGACGCATGCCCACCACGCAGCCTGCAGGCTGGGCGCTGCACCCTCTCCCTGGGGCTCACATACTTCCCACTGACCTGTTGCCCAGCCAAGCCATCCACAGGGGTCAGGGGGCTACACATGTGCCCACCTCTTCCTCTGGGGCTCAGGCAGCAGGGTGCCCTCTTGGGCAGTGGGTCCAGCCTGACCTGAGCCTGTGGCCGTGGTCTCTGCAGAATGGCGTGAACTTTGTGGATGACAGCTTCCCCCCTGGACCCAAGTCTGTGGGCTTCCCTGCGGGCGACAGCGTCCAGCAGCGTGTGCGTCAGTGGCTGAGGCCCCACGAGATCAACTGCTCTGTGTTCAGGGACCACAGTACCTCGTGGTCCGTGTTCCACACTCTCCGGCCCTCAGACATCCTTCAGGGGCTCCTGGGGAACTGCTGGTGAGTTTTGGGCACCCACTTGGGGGTGGGGTGCCAGTGGGCAGCAGGCAGGTGGGCCGTGTTCTCCGTGAGCCCTGACCTCACGCAGGTTCCTGAGTGCGCTGGCGGTGCTGGCCGAGCGGCCGGACCTGGTCGAGCGGGTGATGGTCACGCGCAGCCTGTGTGCAGAGGGCGCCTACCAGGTGCGGCTCTGCAAGGATGGCACGTGGACAACGGTGCTGGTGGACGACATGCTGCCCTGCGACGAGGCCGGCTTCCTCCTCTTTTCCCAGGTGGCGCTGGCGGGCGCGGGGTGGGCGGCAGGCGTGGGCCGGGCAGCAGCAGGCCTCACAACTCCAGCCCCCCCTGCAGGCTCAGCGCAAGCAGCTGTGGGTGGCCCTCATCGAGAAGGCTCTGGCCAAGCTGCACGGCTCCTACTTTGCCCTCCAGGCCGGGCGCGCCATCGAGGGTCTGGCCACACTCACCGGCGCCCCCTGTGAGAGCTTGGCCTTGCAGGTCAGCTCCACGAACCCCCGCGAGGAACCAGTTGACACTGACCTCATCTGGGCCAAAATGCTGAGTTCTAAGGAGGCTGGGTAAGAGGGGCGGCCATGCTGGGGCATGGAGTAGTGGGAGAGGCAGGGCCAGCGCCCTCTGGCCTGTACAACGTCTCACAAGATATCTCGGGCATGGGCTGACCCCAGCTGGAGCCTGGCTCCCCTGCTGCACTGGCCGTCCCACCTGCCCTGGCAGGGTAGCAGCAGGCAGGATGCTGTCCATTGGCCTGTACCTTGAAGGCCCTGTCCTGACTTGGGCCGGTGATGGCCATCAGCGTCCTTGTGGTACTGTGTGGAGTGAGCCTTACAGAGGCACCTGGTGGCAGCAGCCGGGGCAGACAGGTGGGGGGAGTCGGGGGACTTCTGAGCCCCAGCACGCATTGGCCAGTATCTGGGGAGGGTCCTGGACCCCAGGCCTGGGAGAGACAGCTCATTGGTGCTAGGACCCTTGCACTCAGCTGTTGCTGGGCAGTTAGGTGGCCCCACCCCTCAGGGAGCCGCAGCCCTGAGCTGGCAAGATCAGCCGGCCTCACCAGGCCTCCGAAGGCCCTGGGTCTGCCTGTCCCCCAGCCCAAGCCCTCTGAGCTCTTGGGCCAGCACTTCTTGAGTCCCATGTGTCTCACGTGGGTCTCCCAGAGTTAGGGAGGGTCCCCTATCTCGTGCTGCACCTCCCCGGAGGCAGGTCTGGGCCGGCAGGGGTCCCCTGGAGAGTGAGCCCACCCACCCACCCCCTGTCATTAAGGCCCATTACTGAGGGGCTCCCTGGTCAGCGGGGCTGCTCTGCCTGCACAGATTCCTCATGGGCGCCTCCTGTGGGGGAGGCAACATGAAGGTGGACGATGCTGCCTACGAGAGCCTGGGCCTGCGCCCCCGCCACGCCTACTCCATCCTGGACGTCCGTGATGTCCAGGGCTCCAGGTAAGTGTGGACGTGTGGATGTGGCAGGGGCGTGGGGGCATGAGCGTGGCCTTCAACCCTGTGGTCCGCAGGCTCTTGCGCCTTCGTAACCCGTGGGGCCGCTTCTCCTGGAACGGCAGCTGGTCGGACGAGTGGCCGCACTGGCCGGGGCATCTGCGGAGCGAGCTCATGCCTCACGGCAGCAGCGAAGGCGTCTTCTGGATGGAGTACAGCGACTTCATCAGGTACTGGACGCTGGGCAGCCACGTCCAGTGTCAGCCCCATGGCTGTCCTGCTCGCCCCAGTGTATGCGGTGTCCTTCCTGCCAACCAGAGGCCTGGTCCATCCTGGAATCCGGGTCAGCACAGGGTGGGGGTGTTTCTGCCAGGGCTCTGTCTGTGGGTCAACCTTACAGCCTGACGCCCCCTGGTGGTGTCCACAGGCAACAGCCAAGACCAGGGCTTCAGGGGCACTGATCCCAAGAGATCCCGATGGGCAGGATGCCTGCTGGGGTTACCCTGCCCAGGGACGAGCGCCGTGTCCAGGGCGAGGGTGGGGGCTGCTCAGCAGGGCTGTCCTCTTGCTGCCAGGTACTTTGACTCCGTGGACATCTGCAAGGTGCACTCGGACTGGCAGGAGGCGCGGGTGCAGGGCTGCTTCCCCAGCTCGGCCAGCGGGCCGGTGGGCGTGACGGCCCTCACGGTGCTGGAGCGCGCGTCCCTGGAGTTCGCCCTCTTCCAGGAGGGCAGCAGGTGGGTGGGGGCCAGGCGGCAGGGGTGGGGCCTGGCCGGGGTGGAAGGGGCGGGACAGCTGGGCAGGGCCTGGCCACCCGTGACCCCTGCGGGCCACCACAGGCGCACGGACTCGGTGGACAGCCACCTCCTGGACCTGTGCGTCTTGGTGTTCCGGGCTTCCTTCGGCAGCAGTGGCCGCCTGAGCCTGGGCCGCCTGCTGGCCCACAGCAAGCGTGCAGTCAAGAAGTTTGTCAACTGTGACGTGATGCTGGAGCCCGGCGAGTACGCCGTGGTGTGCTGTGCCTTCAACCACTGGGGCCCTGCACCGGGCCCACCATCCGCGCAGGGTGAGCGACCCACGCCCACCCACACAACCCCCACCCAGGCCCGCTGGTGGGACCCCTGCCCCACCCAGGCCCAGCATGGACCCCCACCCATGCCTTCTGGCCACTCCGCAGGGTAACCGCCCTGCCACACCAGCACAGCCCTGCCCGCGCCCAGCGGGGATGTCTGCCCACTCTCCTCACCCAGTGCCCCCCACAGTCTCTGGCCCCTCAGCGGGGGTCCCACGCGACACCCCGGAGCCGCCCGGCCACGTGCTGGCCGTGTACAGCTCAAGACTCGTCATGGTGGAGCCCGTGGAGGCCCAGCCGACCACGCTGGCGGACGCCATCATCCTGCTCACGGAGAGCAGGGGCGAGCGGCACGAGGTGGGCGTGGGTCCGGGGGGGGAGGGGGAGGGAGGCGGCAGCCCACCCACCCACCCACCTACCCCTGCACTACCTGCACCCAGGGACGCGAGGGCATGACCTGCTACTACCTGACGCACGGCTGGGCAGGGCTCATCGTGGTGGTGGAGAACCGGCACCCCAAGTCTTACCTGCACGTGCAGTGCGACTGCTCGGACAGCTTCAACGTGGTATCCACGCGTGGCAGCCTGCGCACCCAGGACAGTGTGCCGCCCCTGCACAGGTGGGCACCCCCGCACCACCACCCCCCAACCGCCCCGCGGCCCCCAGCCTCCACAGGCCCTCATTGGCCCCCCTCCCCCAGGCAGGTCCTGGTGATCCTGTCCCAGCTGGAGGGCAATGCCGGCTTCTCCATCACCCACCGCCTGGCGCACCGCAAGGCGGCCCAGGCCTTCCTCAGTGACTGGACGGCCTCCAAGGGCAGCCACAGCCCCCCACTCACGCCCGAGGTCGCTGGCCTGCATGGGCCCCGGCCGCTGTGACCACCCTGCCCCCACCTGCCTGCCCCCACATGCACTTTACGAGGAAGACCCCAACACAGGATGCTTGAACCAGAATCTCAGGACCCCCACCCAGGGAATGCCAGCGGCCTGGCGCAGCTTCCCCTGGGCCTTCCTTCCTGCCCCTCCCTCCTACCCAGGGCCTCATAGCCACCAAGCAGAATACCTCGAAGCGGCCTCTAGCTCGAGGGAGCTGTGTGCCAGCTCCTCTGACTAGCCCACCTTGAGGTCTGGCTCAGATTGCCAGGGCCAAGGTAAGGCTGCCCCTCCTGCCTGGGTGAGGCAGCAAAGAGCTCCATTCACAAAACCAAATCTGGGGGGTCAGAGGCCAGGACCCCAGCACAGGAGCAGGGACCGCCCCTGTTTTGAGGGGTCAGAGAACAGGACCCTGGGGTGAGCAGGGACCACCCACCCTTATGGGGTCAGGCCAGGACCCCAGGATGAGAGCAGGAACCACCCCCATTTTGTGGGGTCAGAGGCCAGGATACTGGGGTGAGCAGGGACCACCCCCCTTGTGGGGTCAGGCCAGGACCCCAGGTGAGAGCAGGGACCACCCCCCCTTGTGGGGTCAGGCCAGAGCCCCAGGTGAGAGCAGGGACCCACCCCCGTTGTGGGGCACGAGGTCAGGAGCCTTTTCTCCACAGTTTGCCCCTAGGTCCCATCTCCCCACAAGCCCTCATGAGGCAAGCAGTGGTTCCTGGAGTCCCAGCAGTGTCCCAGGAGGCAGGTGCCTGGCGACCATGGGCTCAAGCAGTGGTGGGGAGGGACACTATGCAATTCCTGGAGCGCCAGCCAGGATCGAAGCCATGCCCCAGGCTGGGGTTGGGGCAGTGGGTCAGGTGGTCCTGAGCCCAGGCCCAGCCCTGTGCTTGGTGAGGGGGTTTGTCCTTAGCACCACCTGACCTCTGCTGGGAGGAACAGTCCAGGAGAAATCCTTGGCCAGTCCTGTCCAGGCACATGCAGGGTGTGGCCCTTCCCAGCCCCTCCACACCTCAGAAGCCCAGCGTCCTCCCTGTGGCTGCTCAGCCCTGAGTTCTGTGTCTGCCTGAGGATGACTGAGACCGGCTTCCTGGGCCGCCTGGCCTCACTGTCTTGCAGCGCCCAGGCAGCGGGTGGCCCAGTCTGTGGCCCCTCGCTTCCCATGGGACTTGTAGGCGGGTGGGTTTACACCTGGAGAAGCACCCAGAAGCACTAGACTCCCCTTTGGGCCTCCTTTATATTTCTCCTTTTACTCTGAGCTGTGAGTATTTTTAACCCTGTACATACGGCAGCTCTTCTGACACAGAGGCTATTTTATCAGTTGTCAGTACCATCCCTGTAGGATGATTCTCCATGGGTGTTTCCAGACTCAGGCTCCGATGGACCAAATAAAAATGTTTTGTTTTGTAAGGATTCCTCCTCATCTGTCTCTCCCAGGGGTTCCTGGCCCCTCACCTCTCCTCCAAGGGCTGAAGGGCACCAAGGCCCACCTGGTGACAGCTCCTCGGGGTGGCTGAGCCAATGCCCAGGCCAGCCTCACAGGGAGCCTTTAGGGGTACCCTGTTCACCAGCTGCCTGCATCCCAGGAAGGACTGGGTATCCAGGTAGGACAGAGGCTCAGGCCAGACCCCACAGTGGTTGGCGGACTGGTCCCCACGAAGCCTCAGAAGGACCATACGTGTGCTCAGCTTTTCCCAGAGGCATCTGCGTTCAGGGTACCTGTCTGGATCCATCAGAGTCATGGGCGGAGCAGAGGAGTGAGGGGCAGGGAGAAAAGTTTGTTTCCCGTGGGTGGTGGGGCCCTGTGCCCCCTCCCTCCTGTCCCATTTTACAGATGGCAGCCAGGCCCAGGCACACAGCCTGCAGCCCCAGCCTGGGCTCCCAGGTTGGAACGGCGGCGGGCCCGGCCTCCTGGCCAAGAGGGGGGCTGGGGTGCAGAGGCCGCTCGGCGAGTGTAAGAGGCCTGTCACAGGCCAGCCTATCGTATGTGAAAGCAATTAAAGCCACCAGCAGTGTTGGCTCCAGGCGGGCCTCGGGCAGCAGGGGAGCTGCCACAACACATCTCCCCTCAGCACCCAGAGACGCCCGCCCTGCTCCACGGCTGCACGGCCACGCCGGACCTTCTCCCATGGGTTGGGGGCTGGGCTCCCCCGTCACTACTGGGATGTCCTGGGCAGCCTGAACCCACGTTCCTCCAGCCCCGAGATGGCCTAGGAAGCGAGATCAGAGAGGCCTGGCAGGGGTCTCCACAGTGGGGTGGGGGATGCGTGCCCACCCTGTCGGCTGGCCTGGAGACTCCGGCTCACCCCAGCCAGCGCCCGCTCCCCTGGCACCCCTGGTACAGCAGGGAGGGGCTGAGGGGAATGGGAGCTGGGGGCCCCCCGCGTGGGGACGCGGCAGCTCATGGGAGGTGCTGGTGGGGGCTGAGGTGGGGGCCCGGCCAGGGGCGGGGTCAGGGCCCAGGACACGGGCGGCCACTGTGATGAGTTTCGAAGGAGGGGGAGCCGGCCTGAGGAGTGGACTTGGCCTGCTGGGCCTTCGGCCTTCGTCGGGTGGCACCTGGACCCAGGCCTGTGCGAGGGGTGGACAAGGGTCGGAAGAGGGCAAGCCGCCTCTGCACCGCCCGGCCCCGCTCCCTGCCTCAGTCTCTGACCCTCCGGCCACAGGGGCCCCTCATCCCAAGCCCACCCCCACTCCCCAAAACCCTGGTCCCCTCCCCATCTCTGCTGGGCCGGATCCCCCAACGACCCCCTTCCTGCCCCTCACCCAGGCCGCCTGGCTGCCCACCCGTTGGCCGCGGTGGCCTTCCTGAGGCGGGTGGTGCTGTGTTCTCACTTGTGAGGCATCCCTGTCAGAAGCACTTAGTGTACAAATTAGCCGCGGCCTCCCGCCTCCTCCGCACGGCTCTGGGCTCTGGGCTCTGGGCGCTGGGCTGACTCTCCCGCCTGCCCTGGGCGCCCACCCACGACGGAGCAGCGGGGCTGGTCCCGCTGACCACCTCCTCTCCCGGGCTCCTCTCTGGGCCCCCGACCTTGACCTGGACAGGGGTGACCGCAAGGGGCGGGCGTCTGGCGGGATGTTGGGGTCTCCCACTCCAGGCCCGGCACCTGCACCTGCCCCGACTGGCAGGGTCAGTGTCAAGAGCCGTGGGGGACAGACCCAGAGTACGCACAGGCTCTGCAGCCCCCGCCCACCCCGCCCGCTGGCCGGCCTGCCACTCAGGCAGGGAAAATCGCCTGTGACAGGCCCAGGAAGGCTGGGCCCCGGGGGCCGCGGAGGGACTTGCGCAGCTCCTCTTCCAACATATGGTTGCTGTCGGCCCCGGGCGCTGCTCTGCCAGGGCAGCTCGGAAGCTGGGTGGGGGCTCTGGGTTGGGGCTTGGCGGCCTGAGTCATTCCTCCCACTTGCCTGGCCAGGCTGCTCCTTCAGTGATTGGAAAGGCCCCTGCCCCAGCTGGCATGCCTCTCATAGTGGGGAGCTCACTCCCGCTGCAGCCTCTCGGCGCCTCCAGAGAGCGTCCAGGAGCCTCTCCATCCCAGGGCCTGAGGCAGATGGAGGATCAGATCGCACCCCACCCCACCTCACCCCAGGGTGGCCGGCTAATCAAGCATGCAGGGAGCACTGGCGTGGTGACTTCCAGAGGAGGGAGCTAATTGGGGGAGGGGTGCAGTGAGCAGGTTTGGGACCAGAGGCCTCCTGGGGTCCCCGGTGCCAGGAGCCTCCCAGCCAATGCCCTTTCCCTCAGGGGGGCCCGCTCCACCCCACATCCCTGGACCAGCTTGGGCAGCACCCCCATACACTCCCTGGAGAATATCTGGGCCCTGCATGTGCCCTCCATGGGCCACACCACCCACCCCTCAGAGGTTTATAGTGGAGTTCCCCAAAGCTGCTTGCAGCCCTCTCCACACAGTCACCCAGCACCATCTCTCTGGCTCTGCTGCTCCCTCACAGACCTGCTGTGAACCTGCTGTGGCTCCCCAATGCTCTCAGATTCACTGGACTCAGACTGGCACCCAGGGCCCTCAGGTGTGACCCTGCCCCTCTGTGGGTTTTTTGGGTTTTTTAAAATTATTTATTTATGTGGCTGTGCTGGGTCTTAGTTGTAGCATGCAGGATCTAGTTCCCTGACCAGGGCCCCCTGCATGGGGAGCTCAGAGTCTTAACCACTGGACCACCAGGGAAGTCCCAACCCTGCCCCTTTGGACCAAGCCGTGGGTCCCTGAGGCCACCTCAAATGGGCAAGGAGAAGGAAATGCCAAGGAAAACACGCACTGGCCCGTGGAGAGGCCCTCCGACACTCTGGGGGCTGCCATGTGTCCCAGAGCTCATCAGCGAGAGGGTGAACATGAGCCGTGGCCATCATCCTGCATGGCACTGACCCCTTCCAGGGGCTCCCAGACCCTGCCTAGAGGCTCTACCACCGTCCCTCTACCCACGGGGCAAGCAGAGGCTGGCCCAGCCCCAACACCTGTCCTGGTGAGGCCGGGTGTGGACACTGAGGGGAGGAGACAGGCCTGCCCTGGGCACTGCACTGCCGCCCCCCTGCCTTCCCTGGACCCACTGTCCTGCCCACGTGCCCCTGGCGCACAAGTACCAGCATTAATGGAGGTGACAGGCAGGCGGCCTAGGGCAAGCAGGCAGAGGACGTTAATGGCCACAATGCCTCTGGCTGGGGGCAGAGAGAGGGGCTGCGTGTCCCCACCCCACCCTGCACCAGGACAAGCTGAGGAGAGAAGACTGCTCCCTAGGACCCCACTGGTGCCAGAAGCACCCAGAGACCAAGTCTTCCACCATCCAATCTGCAGACAAGGGGACTGATGCCCAAGGAGCATGGGCAGGGGTTTCAGGGCTCAGGTCACATGGGGGACCAAGCCCCAAAGCTCGGGGATCCCTGACACTGCCTCAGGGCCCAGGGGCCACCTCCCTGGGCCCAAACTTTCCCCAACATGTTGCAGGGTGGGGTCCAGTGGGTGGGTCATGACTTACCACCATGCCCCACTCCT